CCGCATTGTTAGCACACCTGACAAACGAACTCCCTAACAAATTAATATCTCATTGGAAAAAATAGCCAAAACGCAACTCTTAGAATTCTTATCTCCGAATTTTTATCGTCGAACCTTTCTAAAGATTACTGTTTAATTAAATTTCACTATTATTCAACCGTTTTTCTTCAAATTATCAACCACAAAAATTGCAATAAACGTTTCACTAAGACGAGTTGAACGAGAAACGATCGAGGATTGATTACAAACAAACACGATCAGAGAAAAAATTCGCAACGAGTGTTACTTCACTTATTAAGACGCAATATCGACTAGGATTAAGATTACGCACAGTTTTCTCCTGTTTTAATCTGTTTGGATTAACAGAAAGATTACCATTACTGTGCAAACAGTAAACAATTGTAAACAGTTAGCTGTTCTTTATCTTAAGCTATAACGCCACTATAAAAACAACAACTAGTACTGGCTTATCGTGAGCTGTGAATTATAAAACTGTCAGCTACAAGTACAGCTTGTTGCCGTTGTTATGAATCGCGATATGCTTGTTGCGAAACCGATAATTGTCCCTATTTTTGAGTCAGACCATTTAAGGAATCTACTCGGGATAAGGGATTCAGGTAGTGCTCGGAAGGTAGACTATTAACGCACAACAGTTTGCTATCAAAACTATGTATTTTTGAATGAACGTGAACAGAGCGCGGAATGCCTAAGCTTACTGATCGGAAAATTGTGTGTGAAGTGTGAAAACTGTCGTAGGTGGTGGAAGTGTATGGTGATTGGGGGGTGTGTCTGGTGGTGTTCAGGTGTGAGAGGCGTCGGGTAAAATAATTTTCGTGCCGGCTAAGACCTCGCTTTTTGGACGCGCTGGTCTATCGGGAATACCGATGTACTGTTCGGCTCGTCGGTATGGCCGAACAACCCAAGCGACGTCTGTTACGCATGTGACACCGTAGAAAGGAAAAACTTACGATAGAAGCGTGAAAATAATCGAGTTTTTCATTTTTACTATTGTCGAGTCCTTAAGATTGCGAGGTTGTTATAAAAGATAGTTCGAAGAAAATTTTTGCGAATGCGTGAGAAGGGTGAAGTGTGAAAACTGTCGTAGGTGGTGGAAGTGTATGGTGATTGGGGGGTGTGTCTGGTGGTGTTCAGGTGTGAGAGGCGTCGGGTAAAATAATTTTCGTGCCGGCTAAGACCTCGCTTTTTGGACGCGCTGGTCTATCGGGAATACCGATGTACTGTTCGGCTCGTCGGTATGGCCGAACAACCCAAGCGACGTCTGTTACGCATGTGACACCGTAGAAAGGAAAAACTTACGATAGAAGCGTGAAAATAATCGAGTTTTTCATTTTTACTATTGTCGAGTCCTTAAGATTGCGAGGTTGTTATAAAAGATTTGTATCAAGGGTAGGATAGAAATAGGAGAAAAGGGAATTTTCAAGAATGCGAAATGTAAGAAGGAACACGAATGAAAATTATAAGGAAACAATGTTGCGAGAAAGGAAAACAGTATTGGGAAAAATAATTGAAAAAGTAGAAAGAAGAGAATTGTTACTATTATTGACGAAGGTTGGTCATTTGCAACAGCAAATGGAAAAACAAGTGTTTACAGGGTTATCACTTGTTTTCTTTATCTTACGGCAAGATAACGAGCGACGAAATCACGATCTTTTACAATGGGCCCATCGGTCGATCGATGTAAACGGAAAATTCCTCGAAGAAGTCCGCGACAGACAGCCATGTGCAAAACACAGAAATATTTGCTTATGTGAGCTCATGATACCTTCTCGATCATGCTTATACCACATGATACATTTCTACATATATTAATACGCATATCTCGTAAGAATAACAGAGGAGAATACTAAAATTTCGATTGGCCGTCGATGTAGCTCTCAACGATCCTCTCTCGATCCGCAAAACGATGATGGATCTCCTTAAACGCGAAACATAATTCGAGACAACCTTGAACTGCTTCTAGTAGATTTGCGTGGAATCATACTTTTTTTTTTTAAGTTGGAAACATTCGTCTAGACCTGTGATGAGTAATCTTTTTTTGTCACTGCGGGATGGAATTGGAAATCGTAACTGTTACCTTGATTGATTTGGACACTGTCAGTTTATAGAAATTTTTGGAATTTTTAAAGTGTGTGATTTTGAGATTTTGATATTTGGAAATGCTGCAATTCTCGAATCCTCAGATTTCCGAAGACTGTGATCTTGAAATTTTGAAATTTCCAAATTCTGGAATTCTCGAATACTCAAATTTTCAAATTCTGAAATCCTCAAATTTTCAAATTTCCAAATTCTGGAGTTCTCGAATCCACGAATTCCCAAATTCTGGATTTCTCAAATTTTCAAGTTTTCAAATTCTTAATTTCTCGAATTT